TTGAGTGACCATTGTTATGCTCTTGAGCATGCAAATATAGATACTGCAATCCTTTCTTTCCCAAATAAGAGCAGCATTCATGTAGAAGTGAACACTCTGATTCTCAAGGTTGAAGAAAAAGATCTCATTCAGATTTCCCTCTGAGCCAAGCATGTCCATTAGGAAACTGTAGAAATGGTGATTCATTTCAGTTCTCAAGATTCTGGATTATCTTCAGGAGGTTAATGTTTATGCTTACCCATAGCATTTTGTTTAGTTCCTGTAAACTGAATACTATTTTGTGTTTATTATTCAACTTTTAAAAAGCACAGATTAACTTTAGTTCTGTAGCATCAAACCTGGAAGGTCCAAATTAAATAATATGTAGCTACATATCCTTTTGCTAGATCATTAGAAAGAGAAATTTTGCAGAATTAAAGATAATGACTCAAATAAGAGTTTTATTTTGCTGCTGCTGTTGTAGTTTCAATGTAATTGGTACTGTCAAAGAATTAATTATACATTTCAAACAAGACCCACCAATTTTGTTTTTGCAACTTATACTTGAATGAGTTTATGTTGTGGGAGGATGGTAACTGAAGATTTTTCATAGTTAGGACTATAATAGACATGTGACCGACATTATGGGAAAATGAAAGCAACTTTCTGTGAGCAGGTTCTGTATGTTACTGTATGGTCAATGTACATGCATTTTGTTGTTGCTAACTGCCTTCACATCTGTTTCAACCCATGACAACCCTATGGATGAGACATCTCCAGGACCCCCTGTCCTCTACTGCTCTGCCCAGCTCCTGAAAACTCTTATTCATGGTCTCTTTAATAAAGTCCATCCAGATAGCATGTGGCCTTCCTCTCTTTCTATTCCCTCCACCTTTCCTAATAATATTGTCTTTTCCAATGATTCATGCTTTCTCATGCTGTGTCTAAAGTATGACAGTCTAAGTCTTGTCATCTTGGTTTCTAGGGATATATCTGGCTTGATCTGCTCTAGGACCCATTTGTTTGTCCTTCTGGCTGTCCAAGGGATCCTCAGCACTCTTCTCCAGCACCACATCTCAATTGCATTGATTTTCTTCCTATCTTCTTTCTTGACTGTCCAGCTCTCACATCCGTACATGGTAATAGGGAATATGATGGCTTCTATGATTCTGACTTTTGTGCTGAGTTGTATGTTTTTGCATAGGATCTTTTCTAGTTCTTTCATAGCCACCCTCCCCATTCTTAATCTTCTTCTGATTTTCTGGCAGCAGTCTCCATTACAATCAATGTTTGATCCCAGATATGAGAACTCTTTTACTATTTCTATTTCCTCATTGTCTAGTTTGAATATGTGTAGGTTCTCTGTGGTCATTATTTTTGTTTTCTTAATGTTCAACAGTAAGCCTGCCTTTGCACTTTTTTCTTTGATCTTCCTTAGTAGTTGTTCCAAGTCTATGAGGTTTTCTGTTAGTATTATGGTATCGTCAGCATATCTCAGATTGTAGATATTTCTTCCTCTTATTTTCATTCCTCCCTCTTCTATGTCCAAACCTGCTTTCTTTACAATATGTTCTGCATATAAGTTGAATAGGTAGGGTGATAGGATGCAGCCTTGTCTGACTCCATTGCCAATTGGGAACCATTCCATTTCTCCATATTCTGTTCTGACAGTAGCCTCTTTTCCTGAGTACAGATTTTGTATACAGTGGTACCTCTACTTACGAATGCTTCTACTAACGAAAAA